CTCTTTATGGCTGAATCCAGCCCAGGCAACATCCTGGTGAATCTCCTCTGCACCTTCTCTAAAGCATGACATCCTTCCTATAGCGCGGTAACTGGAATTATAAGCAGTACTCCAGCTGTGGCTGAACTAAAGTCCTATACAGCCCCTTCATAACCTCTGAAATAAAATAAAGAACTGAAGATGCTGGAGATCTTAAACAAGCAAAAACAGAAATTGCAGGAGAAACTCAGCAGGTCTAGCAGCATGCGTGGAGAAAAAAAAGCTAACATTTTGAGTCTTGTGACCTTTCTTCAGAACTGGAAGCAAGTAGGAAAAGGTGTTTTTTATGCTGCTGAAGGGAGTGTGAGGGGAAAAGGAGTGATTGGATAGATGGAAAGGGAGCCCAGAGATAGAGAGAGAGAAAAGTCAGACAAACAAAGGGATTGTTGATAATAAGTCAGGGAAGAATAGAAGCTAGATATGTGATAATGGGGACTATGAAAATGCATTGGCTCTGCTGAAAGCAACCCGTTCCGTGACAGGACCTGAGGTTGTGGGGGTAAGTAATAGACAAATTAAGAAGGTGTTCATGCTCTGAAATTGTTGAATTCAATGTTGAGTCCTGAAGGCTGTCAGGTACCTATGTGAATGATAAGGTATTGTTCCTCCAGTTTATGCTGAGCTTTTCTGGAGCACTGCAGCAGGCCTGAGACAGAAATGTTGACATGGAAACACAGTGGTGCATTGAAGGCAACTGGAAGCTCAGGGTCATTTTTATGGAAAGGGAATACCTATGCAAAGTGTTCATTTAAAACCTTACCATCCCTAATGGATCTTTATTCTTTTCCTGGTTATCTTTGTGCCCCTAATATACTTATATAATGCCTTTGAATTTCCCTTTTATTTTATCTGCCCGTGTTTTTTCCTCATGTTCCCTCTTAGCTTTCCTAATTTATTTTTAAGAAACCTCCTGCATATTCTATATGCCTGTAGGTCATTGGATGTTTTGAGCCCTTGGTATCTACCAAATGTATCCCTTTTTCCTTGCCCATTCCTGTACATTCCTCAGCATCCAAGGGTCTCTGGACTTGTCAGTCGTACTCTTCACCTTTAATGGGAACATATTGGTTCTGCACTCCCACCATTTCCCTTTGGAAAGATTCCCACTGCTCTGATGTAGATTTTCGTGCAAGTAGCTGCTCCTAGTTCATTTTGGCCAGATCCCATCTTTTCATATTAAATTGATCTACCCCCAGTTCAGAAGAATTATTCCTAGTCCATCTTTATTCTGTTCTGTTCTGTTCTGTTCTATTCTATTCTTTACCTTTAAATTCACTGAATGATGGTCACTATCCCTGAAATGCTCCTCTATTGACACTTCTACTACTTGTCTGTCTTTGTTTACATAAATTATTATATGACTCTCTCACAGGACTTTCTATGTCGCTTTCAAAAGGTCTCCTGAATACATTTTAAAAATTCTGCCTTTCACATTTAATGTTGGGGAGTGAAGTAAAATTATCAGTATATCGATTAGTATCATTGGACCAACTCATATCTCTGTGGCTGTCACCAATTCTTATTTCTATTTTAGTACCTGTGTATGTTAGTGTTTGCCAACATCTATGTATCTATATCTGACACTCTGAGTGCTCCATGTCTGTGTCTGTCAGTGTGTCTGTGTAGGTCTCTGCATATCTGTTTATGTCATTGTCAGTGTTCCGTGTCAATCTCTTTCAGTGTCTCTGCGTGGGTCTCTGTATATTTGTATCTTACACTATATCTATGTCAGAGGAACAGGAGCAGGCAATTCAATCTCCTGAGCCTGTTCCACCATTCAGTGAGACATGGCTGATCTGTGGCCTAACTCCATGTACCTGGGCCATACCCCTTAATACCTTTGCTTAACAAAACTTTATCAATCTCAGCTTTAAAATCAACAATTATTAGCATCAACTGCTATTTGCAGAAGAGAGTACCAGGCCTCTGCTACCCTTTGTGTGTAGAAGTGCTTCCTAACATCACTCCCAGCAGTCTAGCCCTAAATTTTTAGACTATGCCCCTAGTTCTAGAATCTCCAACCATTGCAAATAGTTAACTGTTATCTACCCTGTCTTTTCCTGTTACTATTTTGAAGACTCGGATCAGATCCCTCCTTAACAGTCTAAATTCTGGAGAATACAGGTTAAATTTGTATAATCTATCATCATAACAACCCCTGAACTCCAGGTATTCACTTTGTAGACATACACTGTACTCCCTCCAAGCCAATATATCCTTCCTAAGGTGCTCAGATCTACTCACAGAATAGCATAGAATAAAAATTTATTGTCATGTGTACTTTTACGTGAAAAATAGATGAAAAGTTTTATAAGTCACCCACCATGGTGTCTACATCAATGACAGAAGTCATGCATAATAATAAAAAAAGTAAAATTAAGACAAAGTTCATCACTCTTCAGCTAACGGCTCATCAGCTCAAGGAAAACTGATTAAGGAACAATGGAACACTCTGAAGTTGCAGCAGCCAGGACGAAACTGCCATTCTGGGGCAAGATCACCACGCTGGGCTGCTGGAATACTAAGCCGGAAGCCTCTGCTGAAGAAGACCACCATGCTGGGCAGATACCTCCACTGCTGGACGAGACTGCCTGCCAGGATGGCTGGAATACCTGAAAGCTGAAGAGGACCTCCACACGGGGATGAGATCTCCATGCTGGGACCTGCTCCTCGCTTGCCAGGGGACCCTTGGCTGGGTTGGAACTGTATGAGGCTTGTCCTGCTGTTCCTGCCAATGCCACAGGGGGACTCCTCGTCACTCACCACTCTCCAGTCTTAAAGACAAAAAAAAGAGCCAAAGAAATATCAAGGAAAAAAAAAGAAAGAAAGCCGACAGGAGCAGACAAGCCCACCTCCTCCACCACCGTCTCAGTAGTTTGAGAGAGCTAACCAGAGTTTTGTCTAGCTGCAACACAACTTCTGTGCCCTCCTATTCCTTTCCTCTAGATATAAAGGCAAGCATTCCATTAGCCTTCATGATTAAGTACTTCTGTGTGGGTTGTAGTGATTGTAACGAGGTCTGCCAGGTAGACCTCATAACCTGGTCCAATCAGGGAACTCATTCTAACAGCCCCAATCAGGGAGTTCTGGCTGATAAATATAAACAGGAGTATCAAAGGTTCTGTTCACTCTTGTAAACCTACTGACTGTCTCTGAGGAAGCTGGACCAGTGTCAATTCCGTCAATATAAAATATAGAGATTGAGAATTTTTTTTAATGTCAGTTTGTATCATACATCGAGGAATTGTAAGGGAATACTCTTCCTCATTCATTCCCCCTTTACATCTATATATATGGTTTACTGCTACCAAGAAATATGCAGCCAGGTGGTAGGCTGTCAATGTTCCTTTTTAAGGTCTAGTTAATAAGAATGCAAGAAATAGGAAGAAGAGACCATATATTCTCCTATCTACTGTGCCATTTAGTACACTTGTGGCTGATCATCACTCCCTATATCCTTTGTTCTGAGCACTTTTGTTATGATGGGAAACACTTGATTATATAGAGCCTTCCAAATCCTCAAAATGAATTGCTTTTGAAAAGTAGTAACTTTTGATAGTTAGGTAAATGCAGCAACAACTTTGCATATATAGCCTAGGTACCAAAAACCCTGCTGAGGTGGTCAGCCAGTTGAAACAGATCTGTTAGTCGTAAGATAAAATTTTCACTGGAACATCAGAATAAACTTACTCTAGACCCAGGGGTGCAGACGCATTGTTCCTTGAAAGTGGAGTTGCGGGTAGACAGGGTGGTGCAGAAGATGTTTGGCATGCTTGCCTTTATTGGTCAGTGAATTGAATATAGGAGTTCGGAGGTCATGTTACAGCTATACAGGACATTGGTGAGGCCACTTTTAGAATACTGTGTTCAGTTCTGGTCGCCTTGCTATAGGAAAGATGTTCTTAAACTTGAAAGGGTTCAGAAAAGATTTACAAGGATGTTGCCAGGTTTGGAGCATTGGAGATATAAGGAGAGGCTTAATAGGTTGGTGCTTTTCTTCCCTGGTGCGTCAGAGGCCAAGGGGTGACCTTAAAGACATTTATAAAATCATGAGAGGCATGAATAGGATGAATGGCCAAGGTCTTTTCCCCAGGGTAGGGGAGTCTAAAACTAGAATGCAAGGTTTAAGGTGAGAGGGGAGAGATTTAAAAGGGATCTGAGGGGTAACTTTTTCATGCAGAGGGTGGTGAGTGTATGGAATGAGCTGCCAGAAGAGGTGGTAGAGGCGGGTATAATTACAATATTAAAAAGGCATCTGGATAGGTACGTAGGAAGGGTTAAGACGGATATGGGCTAAATGCTGGCAAATGGGACTAGCGTAGTGAGTTGGACCAAAGGGTCTGTTTCTGTCCTGGATAACTCTATCGCCCTAAGTACTATGCACGTGTAAATAAAGAGTGACTTGGTGATGGGATACCCGATTCTGTATTTATATCTGACGCTGTCTCTATGTCACTGTCGCTGTGTGGGTCTCTGCGTATCTTACTGTCCCTACGTTATTGTTTCTAGGTCAGTCTGTGTTTCTGTCAGTGTCTCTATAGCAATATCAGTGTTAGTGTCCGTGCCAATATCCTTCTGTAGTATCTGTAACAGGCAGGTACGTGCAGACCGGTGATAGTTAGTTTATTTTCAGCGTCTCTGTGCCAGTGCCTGTGTGTTATCATCCTGTGCCACTCACAACAGTTGCTCGTCTCCCTCTTCCATTGGTTGGGCTCAGGCTGCGAATTACGGCTGGAGAAAGTGAGGAACACGACGCATCCGCCGTATTGTAACCTGCCCATGGGTCATCTCGGCAACAGCGGGCTCCTGCATACCGAGGCTTAGCCTGGGCTTCGCAACCTGCTGCCGGCCAAAATATAGCCGCAGCCTCTGGCTTTCCTGGACGTTTTCTGTTTTTTTTTGTTTGTTGCCCCCCCCCCCCCCCCCCCCCGGAGAAAAAACCGCTGCAGCAATCAGCAGCTCGCAGGCCCGGCGATTCGATCTAGAGGGCGGTGCAGAACAGCAGAAGGTGGCAGCGTTATTCTTAGCACTTCGAGCTCTCCCCACACACGCACACAGACACAGGGCTGGCAGGAAGTGTGTGCCGGAACGCAACTACAACTTGTTGGCTTTCACCTACTTTTGGGAAAGAAGGAACGTTATCTGAGGCAAGGACATGGGAGAAATGGCCGAGAGGTAACTCCTCATGTTGACTGTCCCAATAATGTTTCACTAGGTGGAGAGTGAGGAGCCGTTCTCCTTCAGTCACCATGCTGCCCGGCGTCGGTGTGTTTGGCACCAGTTTGACAACCAGGGTCATCATCCCTCTGCTCCAGAGCCAAGGCTTCCCGGTGAAAGCTCTGTGGGGGAGGACGCCAGAAGAAGCAGAGGAACTGGCGAAGGAGATGGACGTTCCTTTCTACACCAACAGGATCGACGATGTCTTGCTGCACCAGGATGTGGATCTGGTTTGCATTAACCTGCCGCCTCCGCTGACTCGCCAGATCGCTGTCAAGACGTTGGGTAAGTTGGAGCAGATAGTTTTGTTTTCCACCTGATTTTCCGTTTCATTGAACGAGCTGGACGGGGTGGGGGAAGACAGATTCATGGTGGCTACCATGCGTTCCCTTTACGACTGTTCATTTATGTGCCTTAATTTGTTGTTTCGATGTTTAGGGGGTGGGTTGGTTGGGGCGGTGAAGGACGTCCGTCTGCTAGGATGTTCTGCTAGCAAGTAATGGGTGTAAAGACAAGTAAATATATTTGTGTACGCCTATTGGTCACTTACATACATCGAGAAACCTAAGAGCAATTCCTTGATGAATATATAATATAAGGTATTACACTGTGCTGTTGTTTCCCTGGTTTCCAAACTGATCTTTCACTGCAGTAGCACTTCAAGCATAACGTAATGGACAATGGGAATTAAGATTATTGATTTTTTACTTGATGGCTGAGAAAGACCACCATAAGTCATAAGGGACGAGCCTCAACACGTTAACCAACTTCTTTCAGGAGGAAAGTAAATAGAGGATGTGTCACAGTCAGTAACAGGATGTAATATATATTAGCCAAACTGGTACTTTACTAGATCACTCACGATGGCAAAGCCATGTATAAATGAGTTTGATACACTGGTTAAGAGGATATATAATCTTAAACCGTACTGCAACTATGACTTATTTTATTCCTGCAAAATAAAATTTTAATTAATTTTTGTTTTGGTAATACCACAAAAGAAAATAGCTTCTCAGTTCCCAGAAGCGTACATGTCTAGGAAGTGATGTGTCACTTCCTTCACCTTATGTTCAGTATGGTTTGTGTGACCATTTCAAAACAGCATATATCTCTTTATTTAAAAAAAAGTTTGAATAATCTGTGAAATAATAAGGGATTGTTTGGCCGGACATGACAAGAGCCTTGCTAACATACATGTGATTTTGTTTTAGTTGGTCAACTTGTTTGGCATGTATGGAAACCTATCACCATACATAACAAATGCCTGATCAATCTGCTGAGATATAAATAGATTTTCAGTTTGCCAATTTCCCCTATCTATCTAAATCCATAAATTGCAGTCATGGGTGGGCAAGAACAAAAGCTGTGCAACTCCAAGTGTGCACAGAGATACTTCTGAAGCATAATTAAAACCACACAGCTAAGCAATGTAAAGTAGTGATAAACTTACTGCAGGCTGGCCAATCACCAACAACAAATAGGAGAACTGCAGACTTGTTCAGGTATTGGATTCCTGTATGTACAATAGCAGATTAACTTGCATGTCATCCTGGGGCCACCTTGACTTCAGCATGATGCAGTTTATGTTCATCAAGGAGGATTGCACCTGTGCATATGGAGATTGAGCACATGAATTGAAATTTAATCCTTCATGTCGTTAATATTTTACTTTAATTGAATGATTAATTCAAGACATGCTGATATAAGGCACACACATCCTATTTTTAACAATTAAACCATTAAATTACAAAGGAACAATTCTTATCATAAACAGTGCTGAATATTGCTCAACTTCAGCAGAAGAAGGAGTGAAAGTGCTCTGACTATAATCCATTATTGCTGGAAAGAGAGGCATGTTGCTGAAAAATTTCTTTACGTTCATATTGGGACAAAGACAAGAATGCCAAATATCAAATAGTCACAACAATTTATGCCACAGGACAGCTTTGGTCAGCAAATGAACTAATTAGCTGAGGTGTTGCTATGGTGAAAACAACAAGGAATTATAGGTTTTCCAGGATCCCATCTATTTAAAAAATGACAAAAGGCTTGAAAGTATTCCTTTTTGTAGAGGACAGGTTTCCCTGTATGAATATATGTCAATTCTGGCAAACATAAATGTTTAACTGAACTATTTTGAAGAAGAGTATATCAGACTCCAAGTGTTAAATCTGTTTGTCTCTTCAAAGTTGCTGCCAGACTGCTGAGTTTCTTCAGTATTTTCTGTTTTTACCTTGCCAGCTTTATTGATAATCTTAAATCAGTTGCAGTGTAACAGTTAGCACTCTTAAGGTTGTTAGCAGGTACTGTCCAATTTACTGAATCACTTCTAACAGTAGAAGTTTAGTCCTGGGCTTTGCAACTGCCAGCTGGTTGAGATGATTTGTTTTCAGCCTAGTTAGAACAACTGAAGGAACATGCTGTTTAATTCGATCAGCCCGTTGTTGGGGCATTGGACCTACATGTCTGGCACTCTGCCAGCACTGAAATTCATTCATCAAATTGCTCAATTGTGTAGTTGGGAGAATATAATTTTGGACTGAGAACCTTTTTGTTTTAGATTTTGGATTAGTCCAACTTTGCTTCCATGGTCACTTACGTCTTTCCAATGTACCATGTCATGAAGGCATTCACTAAACTAGAATGGTAGATCTTCCAATAATCCTTGCTGCTAGTGCAGGCCAGAACTTTTTGAATGTGGGTTCATAATTGGATGAGTACAATTTTAATTTGCATTGTTCCTGATTCTTCATTCTGTAATTTACTACTATAAGTAAATAATAAGCCCTGATACCCATTGCAGCACAGCTTCTTCATCAAACCTCAGAATGAAAGTGAATCACCTACTGCAGTCTTAGGTTTCTCACTTAGATTGCACAAGATGTCTGTAATGTAAATGTCAAGCAAGCATGGCCAAGAGGACATGTTCTGGAGTTGTAGAACTGAAAGTTTTTAGAGACAATTGGCTCATGTTTACTGTGGAAGATTCAGTGCTTGCTGTTCTAATTTTAGGTTTCTTTTTTGAATTTTTTTTCTTTGTATTTATGGTTCTGATTTGGTTTTGTCACTTTTGTAATGGAAAATCAGCAACAAACCAAGATAGTGGTTCATTTATTCCACTTGGTGGATTTTACTAGAATCATAGAGTTGTAGAATGGTTACAGCACAAAGAATGTTATTCCATCCATTGTGTCTATGCTAGCTCTCTGCAAGACCAATCCAGCTTGTCCCATTCTCCTACCTTTTATCCATATCTTAGAAATTCTTTACTATTCACATAATTATCCAATTATTTTTTTAAAGACATGATTAAATCTGCCTCCACAATGCTTTCTTTTAACCACTTGCTGAGCAAAAATGCCTTTCCTCATGTCATTTTTGCTTCTGTTGTCAATCATCTGAAGTCAGTGTCCAGACTGAGAATGATGAATCCTGACCTTTTCACCATTGGATATACTTTTTTCACTATCACCTCTATCTATTTTGAAAACCTCTATCTATTTTGAAAACCTCTATCAATTATCCTCTCAACCTTCAGTACCTTCTCTAATCTATCTACATTGCTTTCATCCATGGAACCATTCTCATAAATCTTTTCTGCACTCTTTCTAATGCCTTCACAGTCTTCCTAAACTAGAATTAGTGCCTAGAATTGGGCAGAATAGTGCAGTCAAGTTTATAAATATTCACAACAATCTCATGCTTTTGTGCACTTGCCTCTCTTTATAAAGCCTAGGATCTTATATGTTTTACAATAGCTTTTTCAACCAGCCTTTCCACATTCAATGAATGATGTGTAAATAATCTAAGTAATAAATAAATAATTTACCATTTTGAATTGTATGCTATCCATATTGCCTCTTCTCATTCTTCCAATCAAAATGTATCGCTTCACATTTCTCTGCTACGTTCCAACCATCTCACCAGCCTGCCTAGGTCATCTTGAAGTCCATCATTATCCTTCTTATAGTCCAAAGTACTTCATATTTTGTGTTCTGTGCAAAATTGTACCCTACACAGCCAAGTCAATGTCATTAATACAGAGCAAGAAAATCAATGATCTTGATAACAACCTCAAGGGAACCACACTATATACGTTCCTTCAGTCCAAAAAGCATCCATTCACATTACTTTGTTTCCCGTAGCCCAGCCAGCTTTATATCTGTGCTGCCACTTTCTTATTACCACATCAGCAGCATTAATCTGATCAACCTCATCAAAAAATTCACTCAAATTAATTCATCATGATTTGCCTTTAACAAATCTGTATGAGATTTTCTTTATTAATTTGTCCAAGTAATTGTTCATTTTGACCTGTATTATTGTTCAAAAGTTTTCCCATCAAGATTAAACTGATGATCTGCTGGGCTTATCCTTATATCCCTTCTTAAATGATGATATACAATGGTGTAATATTTGAAGTTCTTCAATACTCTGCAGCACTCATGTACCTAAGGAGGCTTGGTAGATTATGGCCAGTGCCTCCACAATTTCCACCCTTATTTCACTCAGAATTTTCGGATGTAATTGATCCAGTCTTGGTGATGCATCAAACAGCCTTACTAACACTTCCTCCTTATCAATTCATTGCCTCAACTAAGTTTGTGTGCTGCCTGTCTCCATGGAATCACATGCTTATTAATTATGTATCCTGATCCCTGTGCCTGAAAACAGGCCTAATCCAGTTTCTCCCCTTAGAATACAACTATTAGTAAAAAAGGAACAGAGTGGGGATTTTTACTCCAGAAAAGAGCTGAGAAATGACATGATAAGGATCTTTAAGGTTATGAAGGGGTTTGATGATGCAGGTGCAGAGAACATGCTTCCGTTTGTAAGGGTATCCAAAATAAATACAAGATAATCACTATTCCATCCATTGAGAAATTCAGGAGGAACATTTTGATCTAGTATTGTGAGAAGGTGGAACTGAGGAAGTGTTGAGTATCTCTATCCAATATTCTCTCAATTTTCTTTGCTCTGAGGAGAACATCCAATGTTTAATCTATTCATATAACTGAAGTTCCTCAATCCTGCAAGAGTCTGAGTAAATATCTTGTTCAGTGTCTCTATGGTCCTCACTTCCTTCATAATATGTGGTGTCCACAATTTGACACAATTGTCCAGTTGTTGCTGAACCAATATTTTATAGATAATCATATTTTATTCCAAGAAGTCTAGTGGCGAAGATTAGAACAAAATTTTGATAGCTTCATTTGTGGAAGTACACATTACAAACCTGCAGCTCCCATCCCAAACCATCAGCATTTCGGTTTGTTACTATTTGC